CACAATACGATTTAAATTACACAGTTTGCAATAAATCGGAAGAAAGAAAAAAATAATGTCATTTACAGACCTAGTTTCAGCAGAGAAATAGCGGATTTAAACAAGCTTAAAGATAAAAGATTGCGACTTTCATTGGGAAGAGAACTAAAAAAACCTAAAAAAACTTTCACCACTTTGGCGTGAAATAACTAGAATAAGTTATCGTAGTTTTGATGAATTTTTTGAAAAAATAGCGATATTAGCCGGTTAGAACACGAATTAAATGGGTGAAACTTGAAACTAGACCGTTTCAAAGCAACAAGCCGATCAGTTGTAAATCTTATCAACGAAAAATATCAATGAAAATAAAAAAACTCATAAAGTTTATGGCCAAATGAGGAACCGAAAATGGGGGGAAATGTTGTTATCACTCTAAAAATGGTCATTCAAAAGGAAAATCTACCAAAACACGGCGCTAAATAAATATTTTGCTGAAAGATTTCGAAAAAAAAAAGAAATGAGAAAGATTGGTAAGATCGGATGGTTTTTTTTCGCGAGTAAATACAGAATTGGTCATCATTTTTCCATTTTGGTTATCAAAATCAAAGTTAAATAATGATTTCATCATTTTGAAATCATTTTAAACTCAAAATTTTTTAGATAAAAATTATTTAAGGATTTGAGATTTTAAGCTGATCGAGAAGTGCGTGAATTGCGCTATATGCTATGTGCAATATGCAATGGACTCGTGCTCAGAAAGTCAGCGGCCAGCTCTGCGTTGCCATCACAAAGTATGGATTAAAATCGCAAGAATTTGCTTAGAACTTTAAATACTTTGAAATATTTGAAATATCAAGATTTCAAAAAGCTCTGTGGTTTTAAAATTTGGGGGGGGGGGGTGGGACAAATGCGACCTTTTTTTGCGCACCTTTTTTTTGCTGGAAAAGGCCTTAGGAAAGGTCGTAGAGCTTCAAAAATGTTTTCATAGCAGGGAATCGTATGCGTAGATTCAGAATTTCGACAAATCAGACCTCGCAGACACGTCAAATTTGGGCTAAAAGGCAAAAACTACGCAACTTAACGCTTTTCCGCAGTTTTTGTCTTTTAGCCCAAATTTGACGTGTCAGCGAGGTCTGATTTGTCGAAATTCTGAATCTACGCATACGATTCCCTTCTATAAAAACGTTTTTGAAGCTCTACGGCCTTCCCTAAGGCCTTTTCCAGCAAAAAAAAGGTGCGCAAATGTCCAGGTGCGCAAAAAAAAGGTCGCATTTGTCCCACCCCCAAATTTGGTAATTTAAAATTGATTTCATTTAAAATTCGTAATTTAATTTAGATTTAATTTAATTTCAAATTAAAATTAATTAATTAAAAGAATTTGAATTAATTAATGAAAACTCATTTTCAAATTGATTCAAGCACTTTTAGGACCTTTTTGGTGTTATTTTGATCCTTTAACACATTCAAACCCAATCTTTCCCTATTTTCGGCTTAACTGTGAATTGTAGAGTAAATTTGTACAAAAGATTCGAATTTGTTGAGATCAACGAATGCAAATCGTAGAATTGCACATTGTAGCATAAACCAGTGTTGAGGAAAACTCGTTCAAAGCTAGACTACGCAACACTCCGCACCGTCATTATGGGAGTGGGGTATTATTACAGTATTTACACATTGTAAACGTAAATTGTCACCATTTTCTAATTCCAATTCTATTTCTATTTCCAATTCTCAAGAAAAGAAAAGACTGCAAACCGTTTTTAAAAACAACAAGTCATCATTGGAAATCATTTTTCAAAATGAGCCTAACCATTTAGCTTTAAAAAGCACGAGTCTTTTCTCTTCTTCAGAATTAGAATTAGAAATAGAATTAGAAATAGAATTAGAGTTAGAAAATGCCAAAAAATTTATGTTTACAATGCGTAATTCGATTTGCTTCAAGATGAAAATTGACGGAGATTCATTGGAAAACAAAAGCGCAAAAAGAAATTGTTCACTTTGAAACTTTGACTTTTAAAAACGGGATTTCAACTTTTTTTGTAGCTTAAAAAATTCTACCTTAAGTAAAGCCGTATTTGTATTTTTTTGGCTGTATTTGGCTGTAAAATACAATTGTAGTCGTATTTCTCTGATCTGTTTCATTTTTCAGTGTTCAGAAATCACCATAAAAAGCGAATCGTCTTCATTTGATATTCAATCAATTTCTATCAGAGAAAGGGCAAAAATTTGAACAATTAACAGGGAAAATACGGAGAAAACAAGCCGTAATCCGCCTAAGAAATCGAGAAAACGAAACAATTCGATGAACAAATCGAAAAAAAAATGCGGAAAAATGTGGAGAACGGAGAAGGAAATCGTGGGGAATCACAGACGAAATCGGAAAAGAGAAATTTGAGTGGGTGGACCCGGGAGTTTTGGGGAAACAATTGCAAATTTAGGCAAAAGTTGCCGTCTGAAAGTTTTCTCAAAGATAAGCGATAGATTTCTCAAAAACAATTGGGTAAAGAGGCCACAAATACAATGCGAGTGTGCCAGAAAGCTCGTGTTTCCGAGAACACAAATTACGTGTTGATTTCCTCGGTGGAATGTGGGAAAAAAAGGTGAAAAATAATAGGTAAAACAGAGAGGAAATTTTTAAATTTTTAAGTTTCAAAGCAAACTGGCTAAGAATTGGAATGGCAAGATTAATAAAAAAAAGGGATTTTTCAAAAAGTATTAACAATTCTGATTGTAAATTGATGATTTCCCCCCTCCAATCTCGTCAATTATCGGCTTTCATCGAATTTTGTAGATGGTTATGGGGAAATTTACGGCTTTCAAAGTGATCTAGAGGGAAATTGTAATGCAAAAATTTCAGTAAAATAACTAGAAAGCTTTTAAAAAAAAAAGTTTTCAAGTAAAAATCTTTACAGAAAAGGTTTCAAAGCAACCAAAGTCATCAAAACTTTGTTTGAATATTAATTGTTCAAAAAAATGTTATTTTTCATTGAAAATCATTATTTTTTTCCCTTAAAAATCGGCTCAATTATCATCTTTTACCAAAACTTATGAGTTATTTAAGAAAAAAATTTGCTAGTTTCAAAGTAAATCGAATCAAATGATAATAATGAAAGCCAATAAAGAAGTAAGTCTTTCAAAATTGTTAAAACTTACTAAAATTAGTAATTGCTTAAACTAAAAAATGATCTAATCGTTATAATAGCAAATTTTTTATTTTAAATACCCATTCAATCTAATCTAGAGCTTCCGGTGACGAAAAAAAGCGTGACTTAGTGAGGAAATGAAGAAAAAGAGTGCTTCTAAACAAAACAAAAAAAAAGACAAAAATGATAAGTGAAAGATGCTTAAAAACTCAAAAATAACCCTGAAATAGGTCAATAAAGCTGTAAAAAAAACTGAAATTAGTAAATAAAAGTTATTGGAAATGTTTGAAAAGAGAAAGAGAATGAGCTTTGGAAATTTTATTGGGTTGGTGAATTGAAAACTGCCGGCTATTGTCATATGTGACAGTTTGAGCACTTTCTTCAAAAAAAACCCTTTTTGGCGTCAATGGAAAAGTTGTAGAGAATCAAAAATCAAGCTTATATCCAAATTTTCAGAACCATTCAACAACTGGCTTTCAAGAAATGCGAAATTTACGAATTTTCACAAACCTTGCATTTTAAGCGAAACTACTAAGTGTATCTTTTTGGAAATTTGGCTATAAGGCTAATTTTTGATTCTCTACAACTTTTCCATTGACAACAAAATGGGTTTCTTTTGAAGAAAGTGCTCAAACTGGGACATCTCCAGGACATCTCCAGTCCTCGATTTTTGAGTCTCACACTTGTCTCACACACAAACCAAAATCCTACTACGAAAGAGGAATCCGCAAATTGCCTGTAAAATGGGCAGAAGTCGTCAATAATAATGGAAATTGGAATGAATTTGGAATGAATTTAAGGTTTTATGTTCAATAAATTTTAGTTCAAAGTCCCGCAGTTTTCAATTCACCAACCCAATAGTTTTCATTGTGAACCGGGTGAAAATTGGGTAAATTTAGTAGCAAAATGCTTAAAGAAATATTTGAAAATAGGAAAAATTTGTTCAAATTCGAATTAGACACAAAGTTAAGCCAAAAAAAATTCTAGGCAAGTGTTCAAAAGTTTCAATTGATGTTTAATGATGAAAAAACATTACCCCAAAATTCCATAGATAAGAGCGGTTTTCGCTAAAAAATAGAAAAATGGATGGCAAACGAAGCCAATGCAAATTATACAAAAAGCGGGATCAGAAAAAGAATGAGCTACCAAGAAGCAGCATTTTTGGTCAGCGAAAGTTTTTTTTTTCCATCTCTTCTGACACTATCATACACAGCTTTGAAAAAGCATTGTGTGATGTTGAAAATCTCAAAAACGATTTTTCCTGTATGGATAATGTAGAAACTATGTAGAAATTGAAAATATTAGTTAAATTATTGTTACTTTTGTTGTTGTTGTTGTTGTTGTTTGGTTTTATAATAAATTAAAATATTTTTAAAAATTTTTGCAAAAATTAAACCGCTCTTATCTATGGAATTTTAGGGTAGTTTAAAATTGAATCGATCGAATGATGGAATGGGGGAAATCGAATAATAATAATATCGAATAATTGAATGTAGAATTCTTTAAAAAAATTAGTAAGCAATACGAAAATTTCAAAGCTTTCAAAGCTTTCAAATTGTTCAAAAGGTTCAAAACTGATTCAGATATGAGTCGATCAAAAAATTTCAACCCAAACTCTCCTCAAAACATTGATTTTCATTCATTCAAATGATTTGAGCAATAGAAATGTGCTTTTTTTTCTTCAAATATCAAGTTATCCTTGAGCTAAAAGTGTTTTTAAAAAAATATTGCTGAACAAAAGAAAAAGTTTTAGTTGTTTTAAACCCAAAACTTCTAGAAACCCGGCAAGATTGGCTAAAAAATACAAGTTTCAAAGAGAACAGGTTGACGGATAAATTTCTATTTCAATCAGTGTCCCTTCCTTTTTCCCGTATATTATGTGACCAAATGATTTGTGTCTTCATCTTGGAAATCCGATCCAACTGCCGTATTGGAGACACTCCGTTCTTCACTACCTGCAAGAAATGGCTTTATTTGAAAGAAGTTCAAACCTACTCAAATGGCAAATAACTTTATGTTTCTGTTGCTAAAAGTTTTTGCTAAGAATTTACAAGATTTCGTTTCAACTTCGTTGGCTTTAAAAGAAAACCTTCACACTTAATAGCTGCCTTAATTTTCCCAATTCCGGGGTGGCGCAACGCCAGTGTGGATATCTCTGGAATTAGAGACCCGGGTTCGATCCCGCCCACCGGTCCCAGGTCCCATAACCCAGGTCCTTAATTCGAGAAGGCTATCCAGCCGGCTTTGCCTTCTCAAGCTATCTAGGGATTGTCGAAGAGTAGGGATTAACGAGAAATGTAGGCGTGGGTTAAGTCAAGATATGGCCTAGTATTGGGTGTGTCGAATTGCGAATTGCCGAATAAACTACATCCGGCTTATATCTATCTATTCCCTCACCCGGTTGTTGCACGTGGACAATCTCTTGTTGTTGTTCATCGAAGTTCTCTTCCAATCCCAACCTTCTCCTGTGTTCTCTCAACTCTCGATCCAATTTCCATTGTGGCTTCATCAAATGATGGATGACGCTAAAGTAAAAGAAAACTGGATTAAACTGTGTTGCTTCTGTTAAGGTAAATTTTGTCGACTACTAAAACGCTTGTTTATATCCGAACAACCTAATATTTGAAAAACCAGTAAAAAAACCCAGTTTTATAGAAAACCAGTAAAATTTTGATTTGATTTCGATGACAAACCCCTGTCCAATCGCTGCAATCGATTGCACTGCACCAGCGACGAGAAACGCGAAACCCGGCCACCAATCAATTGTCGCGTTGAAAATATTGTTGAAAATCAACGCAGAGACAATTGGGCAAAATGCAAGCACTGAAAGATTTATCGATTTTGATTGCTTTTCAAAGCTCACCAATTCCAATTAAAGTCAACAATCGAGCTGTTTGCTCCTTGGGGACCATTCTGGGGAGAAATGAGCGAAAACCGGGAGCGATCACGCCCACAAATAAGGCCATGAATGCGGCTGAAATTCGCATTTTGAACAAATAATGCCATCCGCTTTTATCTTCTATCTAGATACATTTTTAAGTTGATTTCACATTGTCAATGTAATCAAATCTTGTGGAAATGTCTTTTTGTATCAGTAATGAACCGTGTAAAAGCTGATTGTAAAAGTTATTTTATAGTATTGGAACCGTATTGGAACCGTATTGGAACCGTATTGGAACCTTATTAGATCAAAACAGGAACCGTATTGGAACCGTTTTGGAACCGTATTGGAACCGTATTGGAAGCGTATTTGAACCGTATTGGAACCGTATTGGAACCGTATTAGATCAAAATAGGAACCGGATTGGAACCGTATTGGAACGGTATTAGAACCGTATTGGATGTTTCAATTAAAAGTTTCTAGTGAAAGGGTTGCAAAAAGCAATTTTTTTTTGGTTTAATTGAATTTGCAAATTTTTAAGTTACGTAAAACGCTAATATTTTTAAAATAGATCTGGAATTTTATTACTTATATTATAGAGAATTGTAATTGTGGAATACAATAAGTGTTTGTTTCAAATTTTTCACCTTAAAGATACTTTTTTGTTTTTCTTTCAGTCTTTTCCTTTTAAATGATCTTTTTTTTCTGAATTCTTATGAATAATTTATAAATTTAAATGCTTTTATATAAATTTATAAGAATTTTATTTGAACTCGTTTGATTTGTTAACTCACTTGCATAGATTTCATTAGACGTGGTGGCGACGGAGAGCATTAAGAAAGAGATTGCAGAAAAGACGGAACCGGTGATGATCAAAAGAGAATCTTTCCCAAGAATGTTCGCTTTAACGAGCAGGAGTGGACCTGGAAATGGAATGGGTAAACGATGAAATTGAAACAATAAAAATGAGAATAAAGCTGAAGTGAGGAAAAGGTTAGTCTTTCTTTTATAGCTTTAAGCTTTAAGCTCATTACTTTCCCACCTAAGATCATGCCAAACGAAAAGAAGAAACCCTTGACGACATTGTAGATCGAGAATTGAGTGTCCGTCCAATAAAATGGATGTCTTTTCACCAAAAGGAAAAGAAGGCCAGCATCTGGAAATATGAAGAGATCAGCTTCTTTAGCATTCATATTTTTAGGTGTTCTTTAGTCGATTCAAAAGCTTTTGAAATTCTCTATTTTTTGAGCTATAGATCATATCAATCCAACAGATTTAAAGCAAGTTAGAAGCGTTTGTAGTTCACGTTTGCAGTTTGTGGCGCCCATGTCGATTGTTGACGCAAAGTTGATCATCTCGATGCCAAAATAATTGCTCACTTAGATCATTAGATTGCTTTTATTTGAAAATCTACTGCTAGAAACTTTTCAGAATGCAAAATGAATGCAAACTTTCTTTTCACAAAGGAAAGAAGATTTAAAAAAAGATGAGTTTAAAAGTTTCCGAGTAAGCGCTGACAATTTAAAACTTAATTTTTGAATGTTTAACAGATTTCATTTGAAAATTTCTCATTGTTATATCAATAAAGTTAAAAATAAGGTAAGGAAAATATTAGCTGATTTTTAAATTTACTATAGATTATGCAATTAAGCTTATTTTACTTAAAAATGTTGCTATTTTGCAAAAAAAAAAGAATCAAGTTTCAAAGTAAACGATTCAATTTGAAGAAACGGAAGTTTAATCGATTTCTTTTGTCATGGATTTTGTCGATATTGTTTTGTTTTTAAAAAGTTCATGATTTTCTTTTGGGTAAATATTTTTTGAATATTGTTTAAATATTGTTTAAATTTCACCCACCAAGCGCTAAAAACTCGACAAAAATGAAGAAAATCGAGAGATTTAAACAAAAACGGGTCCAGCCCGGTCGAGGCTCGCACATTACCTGAATGCTTTATTTATAGAAAGAAACTGCTTTATTTATTTTTCACCATTTCCCTATTAATTGTAAATTTTCATTTTTAAGCTAGCTTCGGTTTCATTAAAAGCACATCTTTTTCCACTTAGCCTACTCAATGAATCGGTTAAATAGGTCATGTTTGAGGTGAGTTCAGGATGGTCAATGGTCAATTGAATGATTGATTGATTGTGATGATTGATAATGATTGAAATGTAAAACAAAAAAAATGGGCAACACTTTAGAGAGAATTCAACGATTCACCCCAACAGTTTTACACGCCTGGAAAGTCATTTGGCAGATTTTGTTTTCAGTTTCGGATACGATTCCTTTTCATTCTATAAAGTGCACTGGGTTTCCAGAGAAAAGCTTGCCTTGAGTTCGTGCCTTTTCCTAGTTAGATTTTAAAGAAAAAAGTATTTTTTTTGCCACCCCAATCAATCATTTTCTCTTTTTCCCCAAACCTCAATCAATGAATCGATTAATCCTTTTGCTTTTCCACATCCTCCATTTCGATTCGCCGCCTCGGATGAAGTTTCCGATTCGGATCGAACGACTGTAAAATAAGGGGAATTGACAAAAATGACTGGGGAATCAAAATGATAAAATTAGCAGAAGCAAATTTCACAAATAATTTATGTTTTTCAAAGTTTTACCTAAGGATTTTCTGTAAAAACAAAATTTGTCTATAAAATAATCGAAAATCGACTAAATCATTGATTTTTAAAGTGCTTTTTAATGAATTTCCTTCAGAATTGCGTGGAGTTCGTGTTTAGATGAAATTTGTCGATTTTAGGTTGAAATTATTTGAAATTCTAAAATCTTCTCCACCTACCGTATCCGCCAAATCTCGCCGCTGTCGTGTAGGGTTCATTTTGCGGGTGATGGGTCTCTTTCACGTAAAGAATCGTGTAGATCAATGCTGCCACCATGAAGATGCATTCTGAATTGAAAAGAGTTGATCTTATGCTGAATATCAATGCTTTTTTATTCAACACAGGCGATGTATCAATTCGAAAAAATTCAGGTTTCAAATTGCTTTACATTGTCGTTGAGTTATGGCATTTAATTGGGCAGAAATTTGCTAAGGTTTATTAGCTAAAATTTTGATCCATTGCCTGTTTTAAATAATAATAATAAATAATAGATAAAGCAGAAGAGACGTCCGTCTGTCCGTCCGTCCGTCTGTGCGCAGCCATTGGCAGAAAGGGGCGGGGCTTAGATTGGGTGGAAAACGTGGATCCTGCCCAGCTGGTAATAATAATAATAATAAAAACAATCTAATTGCCTTTCTTAAAGTTACAATTTGCTTGAAACTACATCTAGAAAAATGAGACTGATCCAAAAGTTCATGTTTCGCTTTAAACGCCGTTATTCTAGCTTTAAAATAAGCTAAGTCTAAAGTTTTTTCACGTAATTTATGTATTTTCATAAGCTTTTCAGAGTTTTATATAGAATGCTATGATTGAAAACTCACGAATGAAAGCGCAATGCGTGTAGCTTTGCGCGTGTTGCTCGATGCTTTTGATGGCGGGAACGGCCAACAATGAGACGACTAAATTGGGAAATCGTTTTATGAACTTGTAGAATTTGTCTAGAAGTCAAATTTTTGCTTTTAACTCTCACCAAATGTCCCGATGAGTCCACCGAATGATTGAATTGCGGATGCAACTCCGATCCTCAATGGGACCATCGTGCTACCCTGGAAATTTGCCCTGGAGATCATTAGATATTTTTAGATTTATCTCTTGAATATCATTATATATTTTTAGGGAAAATTCATTGGATGAACAAGTTTAAGAACAAGAGAAAAGGATCATTTTGAAGCTCGTGAAATTAACTGATTGAAAGCTCGACTTCTTCAAGAAAAAGCTAATTTTTTGCTAATTTCTACCAGCTAATTTTTTGGTTTGTACTTTGTGCTCAAAATCCATCATTTCCATGCAACCATGTAAACACACCATTTCTGGTGCACTGCACCTTCATTTTCGCGATTTGTCTAACTGAGCACGCCATAAAGAGTGTATTTACAACTTTAAGCTCAAAGTACACATCCCGAAAAAGTCGAGTTTCAAATTATTCAACTTTATGCAAAGATTTTTTTGTTTTTGATCATTTACCGGATTCAGCTGATGTCGACAATCATCGGTGACAATGGCCAACATTGTGGCGAAAAGCGATGACGCTCCTCCACAAAAACCCATCACAATCTCGGAGGCGTAGAACCTAGAAGAAAAGTAAACTTCATTCTTTGTCCAACTTGAAACTTGGTTTTGAAAGGCAAAGAGCTTCATATTATTTGATAGTAAGCAATGAAAACCAATCCCTTTTGATCCGATAACTTGTTTACAGTTAAAATAATAAAGTTACTTGATTATTTTAAAGCTAAAACTCTAGAAAGAGACTGTAGAAAGTGAGGCTTACGCCTTGCTACACTAGTTTTTACTTTTCCTCTATCTCAACACTTTTCACTCATTCATAAAACAACAAACAACGATTTTCAATGAAAATTGTACTTACCAATAGTAAATATTCGTTCTCTCATACATCAACGTAGCGATCAGATAGAAAATCGAGTAGAAAATGAAGCCGGCCATCGAGAAAATTAAGGGAAGTTTTCGGCCTGGAAACATTGGGATTAAGGAAGGATTTTATGATATAATGTAATACCAAAGTTTCAAAATCTACGAAAATTACTTACCAGATCGATCTGACCACGTTCCCACCAGAGGAGCAATGAGAATCGTCGGCAACGAGCCAGCGACCTGAAAAGGAAATTTCGTGTTTCAAAGTTATTAGGGTAAGAGTTGGACTCTCATTTTTAATCAAACCTGCTTTCTAATTCATAATCTAGATTTTTCTAGACAAAATTTGATGTTATATCAAAAATTTTCGTGATTAATTGAGTTGAAGCTTGTTATTTTTATTGCTGTTTTTCAAGGGAATAAACAATTAAGCTATAATTTATCAAAATCAATAAAGTACCGTAATCAAGTAATCAATAATTCAAGTATCGAGATTCGAGGTGTCTAAAGTTTGAGTTTCAACGTTGCGCTTTCATTTCGAGTTCGATTTCCAATAATTTCTAACTTGTTTTTGCTAGATCAAATTTAAGTGTTGTTTAGGCTTTTTAAGGCTCTAGTTATTCAATCAGCCATCGTCTTAAAATAAACAGCTCGACTAAAGTGATTTGCATCTTTTTTTGCATTTACATATATTTTTCTATTTGTTTTCCCTACCTGCAACCAAATTCTCGCATTCGATATATCCTTTTCGACCAAATCCTGCAATCTCGTGTCATTGTCGGCGGCGATGAGAGCACAACGAGAAGAGACATTCGTCTCATCAGGGTACTAGATTTTAAATTTTAAGCCATTTTTCGTTTTCACGATTTCAGGAACCCTTAAAGATGGCAAAAATGTCGCCGTGGCCGAATGGACAAAAATACGATTGAATTTGTAACCCTGGTTCGATCCCCGACAAAATCAAAAAAATTTTTGCCTTTTTTTGTCAATAATCTTTTTACTTGATGTTTTAGTTTTATTTTTAGGTCAACAACGACACCATTTGTGGTACCGTTGTTGCGTTACTTGTCCAAGAATTCACGAAATGTTGCACGGAAATGAGATCCCGCCCATAATGAGTAGGGGTTTAGGTTTTTAGCCAACAACTTTGCATGGATATTACATTTTGAGTTTGTATTGGGTTGGCGGGAAAATAATGCGAATTTTTAACTTGTGCTCTTGGGAAAGTAATGGCCGACAAACAGAGAAAACCGTGATAGTAACAGAGAAGTAGAGTGTGTTTGCTTACACAATCATAATATTATTTGAAAACATTTGTTCATTTGTTATCAAAAAATGACGGAACAAAAATTCCTTATTCGAGCTGCTTTACTCTATGACTTTAAGCTTGGAAAATCTGCCCGTGGATCGCATAATTCTATTTCAAAGGCCTATGGCGAAGGTAGTATTAGCGAAAGCCAATGTTATCGATGGTTTGTGCGATTTCGAAATGGAAACGAGAGCCTAGAAGATGAGCGTCACGAAGGACGTCCTCGAAAGCTGGATGAGTCTCAACTTTTGCAAATTATCGAAGAAGATCCCACTTGCATCACTCGGGAGTTGTCGGAAATGTTCAATGTTGATCATAGCACCATTGAAGTGCATTCACATTTGATTGGAAAGCGAAACAGATGCGGAAAATGGGTCCCACATGAACTGACCTTCAATCACAAAATTTCCCGTATGAACACTTGTTCAGTTTTGATTCAAAAATCAAAAGCACATGATTTTTGGAAATCGATTGTTACTTCTGATGAAACGTGGATATTATATGATAACGTTAAGCGCAAGCACCAATGGCCATCACCAAAGCAAGTCCCGGTTGTCATGTCAAAACCTGGTCTGCATAGAAGGAAGTTGATGTTGTACGTATGGTGGAACTATCGTGGATTGGTTTATTTTGAACTGCTCAAACCGGGTAAAACTGTCACATCTGAACTTTACAGTGAGCAGTTAGAGCGTGTGAATCAAGCTTTACCGAAATCTCGACATGACACTTCAAAAATTCGATTTTTGCGTGATAATGCAAAACCGTACACGGCAAAGATGATCCTCCAACAAATCGAAGAGCTGGGTTGGAAGCTTCTACCTCACGCCCCATACAGCCCTGACTTGACCCCATCAGACTATCACTTATTCAGGTCTCTAAAGCAGTTCATCCCCGATCAGCTGTTCAACGATTTCCGGGAAGTCGAAAATGCGGTCACCAACTATTGTTCGTCAAAAAGTCCCCAGTTCTTTGAAGAAGGAATTATTGAACTGAGCAAAAGTTGACATAATGTCCTAAATAATAATGGAGGAAACCTTTTATATTAATCCTCTTTATTTATTGTTTTTTTTTTTAAATAAAAATTCGGGTCAAAAAATTCGCATTATTTTCCCGCCAACCTAATATCATTCAACGCGCAATTTTATTCTTCTGCATCGAATGATAGTCAACATGGTCAAAATCGAAGGGTTGATGCTGAGAAAAATACAAAAAACCCTAAATTGCAAACGGCAAAAAAGGACCGACAGATGTTTGTGTTACAAGTCTAGTCGATAAGCATTTCGTCTTGATTTTCAGATCGAGATCCCAGTGCCAGATTTGGCCATTCCCTTGTTAGAGATGGCTTTTAACACATTTACGAAAATATGGCCCACCGACAATAAAGTAGCGCTCAAAGTGATTTCGACGGTCGTAAACGGTTGTATTTTTTTCTCTTTGTGAGATATCCATTACACTCTCAAAAAAAAGGGTTTTACCTTGATGAGTCTCTAATATTATGAGCCTAAAAGCTTTTATCTAGTTCGAGTTCTTACCATTAAATTTTTTGGTTCTTTTGAGCTCTTCTCTTCTTCTTTTGAACTTTTGACTCTTCTGAGTTTTTAAAGGTTTTTAACTACCGTAAATACTGTAATAATACCCCACTTCCCTCGTACAGTCGCGTAGTCGCAAAAGTTTTTTAGTATTTCATTTTTTTCAAAGTGCCCCTACTTTCAAAAAATGCGTCTTTGGTATCAAAAAATAGCTGAAATTCAGGGCTATTTTTTGATACCTAAGCGTGCATTGTAGCATAAACCAGTGTCGAGAAAAACTCGTTCAAAGCTAGACTACGCAACACTCCGCACCGTCATTATGGGGGTGGGGTACTATTAGAGTATTTACGGTAAGTATTTTTGAGCAAATCTCACTTCAAATTCGGATTCTCCATGTATTTTTTGAGTCTAAAAAAGTACTTTTCCAAAAGCTCAGCTCGGCGCACGCACACAGCTCAAAAATTCCAAAAATGGTCAAAAATGGCCTTTTTTGAACTCTTTCGAACTTTTTTTGAGCGCTTCAAGCCAAAATCTTTTCGAAAAACTTTTTTTAGACTTAAAAATATATGGAGAATCCGAATTTGAGGCCAGATTTGCTAAAAAACTTTTGCTTAAAGGTAAAATATTGTTGTTTTTATGAAATTTGTTTGCTTTTGCTCAAAAACCCACCATTTCCCCAGCCAATTCCACACATCTTGCCCAATAGGTGAAAAGTTGTTGAGAAGTGGCGAAAAGGCCCGTCGAGATTGTGATCAATAGAAGCACCGGCTCGACGTTGATCACTCCACTGAAAATTTGCAAAATTTGTTTCAAAGAAATTTGGATTATTTCCATTTAGAAGTGTTTCTATTGGCCCAACTGTGGACTATGTACTATATTAGCCAGTTTTCACTTTAATTTCACCTTGATCACTTTGAAATCTATCTTAAACTTATCTTAAACTTATCTTAAACTCATAATTTCATCAAACAAATCATTTCAGAAATTTTGAAAGCGTTTAGACTTTTGAAAACCGTATAATATTCAACAGTTTAATTGCTAAATTTATTACATTGAAGCGTTTTTTAATCGTTTTTTAAAATTAATGTGATAATTATTACTCGCTTGCATTACGATTTCACCTTAACCTTTTTGAAACATGATAATTTCTGGTAGAGAATCATAGGGAAGCCAAAATTCGAAAGAATTTCCGAAGAATAAGTAGATCCACTTAATGTGTTTATTTAAGAGCAATCTTGTATCAGCCACGATTTCACCTCGTTTTCTTTGAAACTTTTATCTTAAAGCCACCATAACTTCTAAATAAAGCACTCCACTGAAATTTTGAAAGCGTTTAAGAATTCTTAAAAGTCGAGAAGCATAAATTGATTAAACAACTCAATTTGAAAGCATTCATTTCAATTTACCGTATTTTCTCTAATAGTAGTGCACCCGGGCGAGCCGAGTTGGTGACTATTTTACGGTTTCCAAGCTTTTGCAGAAGCTCAACGCTCAAATCCCCCACAAGCTCTCTTCGTCAGCCACATTTTCCGACCCCGCTTCGATAGGTTCTGATAAGCGGTTCTCGAGATTTCGAGCAATTTAGGCGACGCTCAGGGTTCGCTACTATTAGAGAAAATACGGTAACCGCTCGCACTACGATTTCACCTTAATCTCTTCGAAGCATGCGAACTTTTAGATTATCCTTAATCTATTAAAATTTAAAAGAATTTTAGCGGAGAATTAGCATCAATTTTTGAGCCGATAAAGCTTTTAATCTCGAATTTTTCTTTATTTCCCCTATAGCTCACTTTTGATACGCTAGATATGCGGTAGTGAAATGACGACGCCAAGTCATTCCATTCACATTTCACTACAAACAAAAGGTACAAAAATAAAAAATGATATGACAATTGAAATGAATCGAAGAAATCAGAGTGATCAATCAAAATTTATTTTAAAAATATTAAAAACTCAATTTTTGGAATGCGATCAAAAATTTGAGTTTCAAGTTGGATAATGAGGAGTTTAAAATAAACGAAATAATTGAATAAAACCTTCAACGATATTTACTTAAACGACGAAAAACTTGATTTATTTTGGCATTTATATATATGTTGTGTCCGATTTAGATTTCCGTCCGATATAGACTGTAATCTAAATCGGACGTCCGCGATAAGTTCAATCTAAATCGGACACAACATATATATACTTTATTCATTAAATGAGTAAGTGGATCAGTAAAATTTACACAGAATAGGAAAGAGGGAGAATAGTATTTGACTGAAAAAAATGCTTTCACTTGAAACATGATAAAACGTTTAAACGATGAAACTTTAAACGTTGCGTGTGTTTTCTTTATACCATAAAAATTCAAAGAAGTCTAAGCGATATTTAGTTAAAAGGCTAACAATTGCTCAAAAAATTGATTCATTTTTCATGAATATCTCTATAAATTGCGTGGTTTATTTGAAAAGGGGGAAATGAGGTGAGTGAGGGATGTTTTGGAACCAAAAAAGGGGAAAAGGGACCAGGGAAGGGCCAAAATAGTCAAAGGATGGGGTAATTGTTTGGGGAGAAGAGAAAAAATGGAGAAAGAAAATAGAAGGGAAATGGAGAGGATGAATGAAGGGAAAAAATGGAGGAATGGGGATAAAGGACGGTGGAATTCATTTCAGAAGTTATTTTTGAGCTGGCCTTCTCTTTAAAGTCGAATTTTATATGCAAATTTGACAATTTTTTTTAGTATTTATTCATTTATAGCTTTCTTAAAGTCAATAAAAGTGATTTATTGCAGAATCGGGCTCAAAAATGGCACATGTTTTTTTTGAGTTTCAAAATTTTAAACTACTTAGTCATTGTAAAAAATTAATTTCTGGATTTTGGTTTAAAATTTGGATTTGGTTTTAATGATTTCTAGATTCTGGATTTGCTCTTAATGATGTTTTTGCTTTAAGAAAGAAATTAACTGTCCACGAATCAGCTTCTCATCATTAATTGATAACAAAATCAATCTAGAATCTGAAAAATGAAAAAATCTTTTTTTTCATCTTCCAGTTGTACCAATAGCAAGTAAAAAAGCCTATACACAAAGAAAATACGTAGATAAACTTTAATTAAACAAAAGAAATTGCAAAACTTTTAAAATTAAGCCGTTTAGGGCTTTTGGTAAAATGAAATCTAGTTGTTGGTCATAGTTGGTTTCGAAAAAAAAGTATAAGTTTCAAATTTATAAATATTGGAGAAGAAAGTGGGTGAGCAGTCCTGGTCCCGTGTTCCATGATATCTCATAAAGCTCAAAACTTTCTTGTTTGCTTGTAAAACTCCTTGGTTAATTGAAACTTTATGTTGCAAATGATGCAGAATACAAAATTATATGTATTTCGCTAGTGCAATACAAAAAAAGAGATTTTGTAGTAAATGCAAAATTTGCAGTGAAAGTCACATGTGTTTCAGGAAAAAAAAGAAACGAGAAGAGTTTCTTTTTGGAGAGCAAATATTTGTGCATACACATGTATTGACAAAAAGTAGTTCTTTTTAAAAGAAATTCTCGAAAATTTACCTAAGTTCTAAGTTTTTTGAATTCAAGAACAAATCTGAATGCTTTTTGGTGATTTTCGAGGGATTTTCCTTGAGAAAAACTGTTAAAAGGAATAGAAATTGAATATTGAATTGAATAAAAATTGACTAAGTTTTGATAAATCGTACGAGAAAATATTAGAAAGTTACCTCTACAGTCACTAGATGATTTGGTTAACTTTTTCGAATCGCTTACCAGCAATATTTCTTCCTTGTCTCATTCAAAAGCGCATCCTCATCATTGCCGCGAAGTCTCTCGAGAAACGATCGACGCCGATCTTGCTGAATTTGAGGGATTTTGATTTTAAGAGATTAGAAATTACAGAATGAGAAATAATGGCTAAAAACTCGGAAAATTATCCTTAATATCTTCCGAATTTTGTCACTAAAACAACTTTTATTCAATTTTAATGACTATTTAAAACGCTATATAAAAATAGAAAGGCGATTTACGCAAAAAAATGGGTAATGCTTAGAACAAACCTGACAAATGGACATCTGCGGAAAAAGGGCAGACAAAAAAAAGTTTGAATAGACTAATGACTAAGAACAGTCAGTTTTTCAGACTAAAAACAGTCAGCTTTTCTCGCAAAGATCAGTGAATCGAATGGCTGAAAAATAAACAACCGGCAGCAGAAAGTCCACTTTGAGGTCAACGCGGGGGAAAAGCGCGATTTTTTTGGCTTTTCCAGAATTTTCCCCTTTACCTATCGAAATCTTATCTACAAATTCAATGAATTTTCTCATAGAATTGCAAAAAAAGCGGTGAAATCATCAAAGATTGCTGACAAATAAATGTCAATCAAGAAAAAGGCTGCCGGGGAACAACAATTTCGATGATGTTGGGAATGACTTTTTAGACAAAACACTACCGTAAAGCTGTCGAATTTTGGAACAAGTTTTTGGGATTAGCAAATAAAACTCTTTACTAGGGGAAAGGCTCTTTACTCTTTACTGACCAAAATCCTAGAAAAGCAAAAACAAAAGCCGAAACACCGAACTCTGCTCCAGTGGACCGAAGGTTCATGCGTTATCCACTAGGCCACCAAGGCCCATCGCGTACACTAGGAAGGTGCCCTTTAAAGCATCCGTTTTGACGGATTTTGGATCAAAAGTTATATTTTTCGCAAAGTTCGAATCAATTTGCTACCCCAAATCCCAATCTTATTTTACGCTGAGTTGATTGAGTTTATATTTTCCAAAAAAGAGTCGATAAAATTGAAACTTTATTGTCTCAGTTGCGAACTATAAGGGAAAAATGTTTAATCTCTAAAATACAAAGTCAGGATTCAAATTGGTCATGATTTTGGCAAAAGCAAGTTTCTTCTAGCTAAACCATTGCGCATCAAAGTCCTGACGAAGTTTTTGATCCAATATTCATTTGCAAGGGAGCAGCAAATGAGTTTTTCTTGAGTTTCTTGAACAAAAGGATGTTGGAGAGGAAAATGCTATTGATATTCGTAAATCTAAATGAAATCAAAACCCACTCTGAGCATCGTGTCATTTGTGACAACACTCATCGAGATCTCTGACTCAAAAGTCACGGATTCGGCTCGATTCTGATGAGGAATTTGGGATTGATGTGAGGGAAAATGCGACATTTTCGGAATCGTTTTCTCAATCAACCAATTCCATCATCTTCTCCCATCGGAGCTTTTCTGAAATTATTGTTTTGTTGAACTGGGCAAAGAAAATTTTAAGATTCAACATTTCTGTAAGCAAAAATTCCTTACACCATTTAATTGAAGAATATGGAAAAGAACAGGGGAATTTCAATGTCAACAAATACAAAAATGATTTAAAAAAATAAAGATTCAAGTTTCAGGACGTAGCACAAAGATTTCAGAGATAAAGAATAAAATTTCTCTAGAAAATCTCTAGAAGAAGGCTTTTGAGTGAAATACTGGAATTGCAGAGGTATTCTTGGCAAGATTTAGCTAGAAGGTTAAATGTGTTTTTAGATTAATTTTTGCCAAAATCATTAGCTATTCAGAAAATGATTCCAAACTTTGTCCCTTTCTTGCAAATCCCTTCTCATTGATCAATCAATACTCACAACCCTGGGTCACCTGGCAAAAGCGAATTTAGGCATTGAAGTGAGAAAAGAGGAAAAGGGGAACATCTGATATGGCAAAGAAAAGAAATGAATGAAGAGAGTGAGTAAAAAATCCTTTGTCTGCGGGGAACAGACACGAGCCCTGGGTGTGTATCTTGTGATCTAGATTGTTGATTAGGAAATAAGCCAACCTTGGAATTTCTTGTGGTAAAGCTTTCTGACACATTACTGTATGGAATTCGCAAACAAAACAAACAAAATAGCATACTGCAACTATAGCAAGCCTACTGTAATTCGACTCACAAAACCATAAACCGTTTGAAAATCAACCACCCAAAGAGCAAACGCATTTTCTTTTGCTCATTCCCAAAAGTTTTCCCAATTTGACAACCTATTTATTCCACTTAATCACAAAACACTACATAGAAGAATCACAGTGCCGTGAAAAAAAATTAAGAGAGAAAAACACACACTCGAAACACGTATAATTTAGGAGGGAAATCACAATTTTTGAGAAATTCTTCTTACCAAAGTAACCTAAATGACACTTGTGATGGAGAAAAGAGATGATTTTACAAAGAAACAACTACAGAAATCCAGAAATCCCAGTGTTGGTGAGTCTGACTGTTATTTATGGTATTGATTCGTTAGACCAAAAAGGACCGGTAAATTTAGCTGAAATTCGAGAACAACTTGGACAGAGGAATGATCGGATAAAATAAAAAATGTGTAATAAGATTTTAGAAAAATTCGATCTTGAATCAACTTTAACAATTCGCTTTTCTAAAAACTATCACCCCAACGATTTTTCCATAACAGACACATAACTAGGGTCAACGAAAGCTTAGCATACCGGTAATATAAAAAAACAAGTTAATTTCAACAACTATTTAAGAAATGGGTAAAAAGGTAAGCCTTTAAAAATTGAGGGTGATTGTCCAATCTTCTCCGGCGAAGTCTCCGGGTTTGCGAATCGAGAGGAGACGCGCGTCACGATCGTAGGCGAATGGAAGAGTCAACCCGCGGGATGAGATCACCTTTGATGGCTCGGATGGTACTCCACGGACCTGAAAAAATGAAGTTCAAGAAAACCATAGAGTTTCATATTTCCACTTTATTGCAATAGTTTAAAGCTTCAAATTTTGAAGCCAAGTGCAGATTAACCGAATGTGAATCATTTTTTATAAGTAAACTAGAAGAATTTGAGTTGCTTAATCATTCTAACTAGATTTCACATGCACTCACCTCTATTCTTTCAACCCAGTTCACCGGCTTGAAGGCACCATTCGAATCAGCGTGCTTTCCGGTGATCTTCGCCTCTTTTGGCGAATTCGTTCTAGAAAAAAGTGTATCTAAAAACTTGAGTAGACAACAAACGCGTAGCTGAATTCGGAGATGCAGAAGTTGTTCAAATTCTTGTAGTCAAACGTTTCCATATCGTCGAGATAAATTCGCCCCTTTGCGGCTCCATTCTTGTCGAGAGCAATGATCAGCGTCAAAGGATCCTAAAATGATATTGTGCTCAAGAAGTTGCAAAGTTTTTTAGCTACCTCTTTCATCAAAGAAGCCGCGCGTCGAATTCGCTGCCACGTAGGCACAATCGTTCCTCCACTAAAAGTAAACGATAAGGTTGCTTAATTAATCACCTAGTTAAACTTTAATTTAAAAGTAAACCGTTGGAAGACAGGAATCTTTTGAAGTGGCGCATCCACATGGTTCAATCCAGCGGGTCGCTCAACACCAGATTCCCAATCGTACCACAGGGTGTCCTATAATCTGTTAAGTTTGCATTTTTCAATGGAAAAGATTACCTTATTCTCCCCACTTGGCAACGTCACTTCAACCGATGTTGCATCTTTGTCAACGACGGCACGAACAAGAAGAGCCTCCCCGACCATGTGAGCCTAAAAATATAACTTTACATCAACTAAAATGATTTCACATCAAACAATAACTGATACTTATAAATTTAAGCTTAGAAACCTTGTCTTCGGTGAAAAGTGCCTCATCGGATGGGAACTCGTAGAAGATCGGACGCATTGGCGGCATTCCAGTGGCATTGTGCTCTTGGAACAAGGTGTACCTGTAAAGATAAAATACATAAACGATACATAAAACGCAATTGTATAAATCTCAAATTAAATTAAATACAAACCAATATGGAAGTAGTGTGTATCGTTGACGGATCGCGTCTCGGATTCCCTCTCGTGTCTCATCGCTGAATAGCCACGGCTCTCGACGACGTGTGTCAATGTGGGCATGAGCGCTAAAAATGCAAATTACTAAGTTTCCTAAGAATTTCATTTAAATACTTTCTTATACTCTTTTCAAATCATACCGGAAAAATGGTTGATAGGCTCCGGCTTGGTACCATCGAAGGAGCAGTTGCTCATCGGGATTTCCAAAGAACCCTCCAACATCGGCACCAACAAATGGAATACCAGCAACCTAAATCAAAAATAAATCTAGTAAAAAAGATAACAAAATTACTGATAATTGTAAAAGCATGGGCACAGAGTAGCGAAGATGGCCCCATTCAGCTGTGTTGTCACCAGTCCAGATGGCGGCTGTTCGCTGCGTTCCAATGAATCCGGCACTAAAGAACATTAAACTATTACAGGAATAGAATGTCTCGAAATCTCAATTAGTCAAAGATCTCAAATTTCCGCATACATATCCTAACCATCGTCACATTTTATATCTCCCAAATCACAAACTAACCGGCTCAACAAGAACGGGCGATCCTTTCCGGCGGTTCTCTCAACCAATCCTTTGTACGTGGCCGACGTGTACATCATTCCATACCTGGACAAAAAATGCATTAAAATATAGTTCCAATATCTGGTACATGTTGTGCACTTCACGATGTTCAATTCCGCCATAATGAATGGCGTCTCGATCCATTGTCACTTCAGGGCCAGAGAAAACCTGTAGAAAACGAGTTCAACAATTTATTTTCCCAAACCGATGGCTCGTTCATGTCATTCCATGTGTGCAAATCCCTCGTCGATCCCTCATAGCGGTCAAAGGCGAATTGTTGAGCCCAGTATTCTCTTGTCTGTAAAAACACCATTAAGAATCTTCTCAACTAATTTACTTTGTTCAACTTACAACAGACCACTTTTTTTACTTCCAACAAACCTTTGGATGGAAGAAATCCAAATATTCACTTGATCCCGGCCAACAATGCCCCTCAAAGTCCGTCGTTCCATCAGCTTTCTGTTGTAATCGATAGTTTTTTCTTGTCATTACATTTTACCTTCACAAACAAGCCCAAATCTTTCGCATCTTTGTTCACCCGATAGCTGTCGTCTCTCTTGATATGCGGATCGATGATTGTCACCATTTTACGGCCCTAAATTCTTTTTTGGGAGAGTTAATGCTTTATTATAAGTTTAAAAATGTTTTATGTTTTGTTATTGATGAATGATTTATCATTTCTACCTTGCTTGCAACTCCTTCGATCATCTTCTTTGGTGTCGCGAATTTCGTGGGATGCCATGTGAAGTATTTCTTTCCATCTGTGTGCTCAATGTCCAACCAGATGACGTCCATCGGGATATCCCATTCATCGAAACCGGCGTTAACCTAAAATCATTTTTTCCTTGAAATCAAGTTTATTACAAACCTGCGCCACATCTTGTTCATCATTGTAATTCCATCGACATTGGTGATAGGCAATTGCGAACAACGGTGGAATTGGGGTAACCTAAGCATGCGAGATGCTTGAAATCGTCAACAAAGCTTACTCCAGAAGTCTCCGCCATTTGCTTTTGCACATCTTGCGATGAGGGACCAACAAAGAAGAACAAGTCAATGAGGCCTGAAATTCAACTTTAGTATATCTATCTACTTCAAGATGATCGTGTATAAACCTACCAGCTTCAGCCATGAAATGAGCATCAAAGCGAGGTTGTGATTCATCGGCCATCACCTTGTTCAACATCGTGCGGAACATTCCTTTTGAGTCCTCAGATGAGCGAGTGTCCACCCAGGTTTCAGCTGCATTCAGCCTAAATAAAAAGTTATATATTATAAATTATAAAAAGTTCTTAAACGAATATCAGCTAAACCTATTTAAGTTAAAACCGTGATTTTAAAAGCTTTACCACAAAAAGCCGACAGATCGCTGTTTCTTGTGAGCGATGATGTATGGAACGTGCGCGTAGAGGGCCATCGTATTATCCAATTCATACTCGAAGACGTCAAGATTAAAGAGACGATATGGCTCACTAAAACAAAACATTAAAACCAAAAGAAATACAAATAACCCGTTGTTGACGGTGCTTCTCAACGAGAATGCATCCGCGTGCGAGGGAAGACCGAAAGCGTGACGAAAACCGACAAATGACACGTCAACCTTAATAAAAATATTTGATCAAACATTCTATTCAAAAATTTACCCCAACGCTGCTGGATCCAAATGGTTTGCTGTCTCTGAAATGCTTGAAAGATTCGTCCCAAAATCCTTCTGGATATTCTTGGCCATCCATTTTGGCACGGAAGTGTTCAACCTGGAAAAACAAATAAATAATCTTTTTATTTTTTACAAACCTTCAATTTGCCAGCTGCATTCACTTGAGTAACCAATTCATTCAATCCATTGTAGATATCCACGAGGAAAGGCTTCTGATGAATTACAACCTAAAGAAATTGGCACTGGCTTTAAGCAATTTTTATCGCACCTTAGCCTTGCTTCCTCCGCAATGAATCGTCAAGTAGTCACTCTGAACATCAACTTTGTCGAATGGCACTTCGTATTGGACTCCACTAAGCGCGAATTCGGGGATGAATCTGAAAACAGAAGTTTAATCAAAGATACAATTAAAGCTTGAACAGATCCTTTAAAAGCTTAAAAACTAACCTTTTGCGTAGAGCTCCAGCTGGTTCATCAATTTGTAGTCGCACTCGGCCGCCATCCAAACCCGTCAATTTGAGCGATAATTCGTTTTCGGGTCCTAAACTTTATTTATTTGAATCATTAATCAAAGGGGAGCGCATATTAATTACCCCTAGTCGATAAATTTCCCAATTTATTTTAGACTCTACAACTACAAGAACACACCCTTCAATGTCGCTGTCAAGATCGCGCCGCTGTGTTGGACGGTAGAAAAGTCGACCGCATATCCCGTGTTTTCCTAAAAAATTAACTATAATGCAGAAAGTTTATAGTGCTAAAACCACACAAGATAAGGCTAAAACTACACTGATGCTTTACTTTATAAGCCAAAACTTACACTGATTGATCGGTGCCTTTTGCAGAAAGTCGCCTGATCGCACGTCTTGAAATCCTCTCGCTTCACGGCCATCGCGAACACGAGCACTGCCGCGAGTAGCCACGTTTCACGGCGCATCCCGCCTAAAAATTTGTACATATTGACACAATTTATGACTATAAACACATAAGAAAGGAAAATCATATGATGAAATCACTAAAACCCGCATAAAATAGCACAATCGGGGAAATGCTAGGGAAATTTTAATTGAGCTGCTTAAACTAGATACAAAGATTTATTAGTCTAGATAGGTCTCTTGTCTATTTCATTTCTAAAAATCTTATACCTATTAACTTAACAAGAATTTCCATGAACGAAACCCTATTCCATATATCGAATCAACACTTTTGTTTCGCTTGTTTATTGAGGATCGCTGAGGCGGCTCTCGACGAGTTTTGTCTTCCCATTTTCTCGCAAATCCATTGTCCCGTTTCAACCAATTTTCCCAAATCAACTCCCGTGTTCAATCCCATTCCATTCAACATGTACGCCAAGTCCTCGGTCGCCAGATTTCCCGTGGCTCCCTTTGCGTATGGACATCCACCCAATCCGGCGATACTCGAATCGGCCACTCGAATCCCCTTCTCAATTGAAACCACCGTATTAGCCAATGCTTGCCCAAAAGTGTCATGGAAATGAACCGCCAATTTCTCAAAAGGAACCCCTCCTTTTAATGCATCCAAAAGTTTAGCCACACTTCCCGGCGTTCCCACACCAATCGTGTCACCCAAACTGATCTCATAGCATCCCATTTGCAGCAATTGCTCTGAAAGCTTCAAAACCTCGCGTGGATCGGTGTCTCCTTGATACGGGCATCCGATCACCGTGCTGATATATCCGCGAACTCGAATTCCTTCTTTTAGCGCAGCTTTTGCCACCTCTGCCGCTCTTTGCACCGATTCATCTGTCGTACAATTGATGTTCTTCTTATTGAAAGCATCCGAAGCAGCCACGAAAAGCGCAATTTCGTCGACTTTTCCTGTGGCAATTGCTGACTCCAAACCCTTTAGATTCGGGACTAAAACCGGATACGAAACGCCATCTAAACGTCGAATTTTCTTCACGATTTCCTTGTGATCGGCCATTTGGGGTACCCATTTCGGTGCGACAAACGACGTCACCTCAATCGTTTTTAGTCCACTTTCCGCCAATCGATTGATCAGCTCCAGTTTCGTCTCGGTCGGCACAAAGTTCTTCTCGTTTTGCAGTCCATCGCGTGCTCCCACTTCGACGATCCGGAAATTGTTCGAGAAGTCGCGTCTTTGCAGTGAAACGAGGCGTCGCGTGGCGGCCAGAGATCTCATCTAAAGTGGAAAATGTTAGAAATTTAGTGTTTAACACAAATTAGATAAGGAAAAGCAGAAAAATGCCTAAAAGCGGCTACAATTTTTCGGGTAAACAGATCGCCGAGGGCAAAACTTCAAACAACGCAACGTGGACTAATTCCGTGCGAGTGGGGTACGGTAAAAGGAGCGGGGAATAGCCTAGACAAACAAGTGCGAACGTAGAATAAACCGCTCAAATTTTTATTAGGAATGAAAACAGAGCTCTTTCTTTCCAAAAATAAAAAGATTGCAAGCCTTAGTCACTAAGTGTTGTACAGGGTGGGGCAGAATTATGGTAACCAATATATTTTACGGCCTAGAGTCAAAAACTTATTAAACTGTAACAATTTATTTCTAACAAACATTTTAAACAGAAAATTAACTTGCTTTTAGATCATTATCCTTGCTCGTTTTTATTCTTATATTGCCACATATGAAGCTATCGTGCACGGTGGGATGATGTGTCGCGCTTCGCTGCCTCAATTTTGGATGCTCCATAAAGACGTTCTATCGGGCTTAGCTCGTAAAGGTCTTCAATGGTATTGCGTCTCCGGGTCGTCGGTTTCTGTTGAACCACTTCTCAGGTAGAAATCTTGATTTTTACCTTTACTTATGTTTGATTTAGTCGACTTGGTGTAATTTATGGCAACAATCGAAGAGGGCGGCTTCCCCCTTTCATTGGGGAAAATTTGGTGAAAGTGTACGACGCTGATCAACAACTGATTACCTCTCGGTATTATTCAATTTAGTTTGTGGTTTTATTCTTTTACTTTGGGCGTTTTCGAACTCGTTACACGCAGAAGTACGCGGAACGAGTGGATGAAGAGGTTCGTCTTGATGCTTCCCTGTCTTCGCGGACTACACTTCCCCTCGATCAAAGTTATGACGAAATGGATGATGACAATCCGTTAAACATTATTGATTAATCGCGTTGTTTGTTCTTTGTTATGTTTCAGTTTTTTTTATCTTTTTGTTAATTGTCGTTTTTTACAAATAAATATTCAAAGAATGTCTGCTTTTATGATTTGGTTTTGGTAAAGTTGTTTACCTAATTTTGGTTGTTTACTCTTCATAAATACTTTGTGTTTGTCCCCAGAGCAAAAAAAAACGATTTTTAAAATAAGGGGCACTTTGGGGATCAAGGGAAGTACCCGGAGGGCGGGTGGTCACTCTGAGTATTGAACATATAAATGTTCAATACTCATTTTCCGACTTTGGTGCATTTTAGCATTCGCCCTTTCATTACCGTAAACGTTTATTGAGAAAGAGTGCCTTAAAAAACACAAAGTATCATAATTTTGTTCACAAACTCACAATAAACACATAAATTTGTTCGATAGATTTAAAAAGAAAAAGAAGAGTCAAAAAATGAAAGTTTTATGGTATTTTCTGGAAAAAAACATCATCAATCAATCGATATCAAATCCCGTTTTTAAGCTTTTTGGAAAGGAAAATGGAGTTTAGAATGAAAAAAGGAGATAACTATAAGGTTGGCTTTTATCTTTTAATAAAAACAATAGATTTTAAAATATTCAGGATATAGAGAAAACCAAGAATTGAACTTTTCTCGAATGTTGGATCACAAGTGCTGCGGGGGATGGCTCGCCAAGGAGAGTTAGTGGCCAAAAACAATAAGAACAGTGGAAAAATAATCAAAAATATTGAATTTGCATAGTTTTATTAGAGCTACCGTAATCCCTGTACTAGAGTTCCATTTTGTTGCAAAAAAAGCCAATGTTTCGGCTAATGCGTTGCCTAAAAAGCACAAATTTTGAAAAAAAACTATCGGAATTTGCATTCAACTAGCTATTTTAATATCAGAAACGATCTGATCTTTCAAATTTTGGGTTAGATTTGATTTTAAAATTGAACTATTACAAGTTTTACGGTAACATTACCAAAAAAAGAACCAAATCTTTACCAGATTAGATCTGTCATGAAAAGACGAAAGCCAGGAAAAGTATCGGAAGAAATATGGAGAAATCGCTTTGTGTTTTCGCCGAATTGCACCCATCCGTGTCACACGATTGCACACAACCATCATAATAGGAACCCTCGTATTTGAATGAACCACAATGGGATATTCGAACGATTTCTGCAAAGAAGATTGGTAAGCTTTGTGAGAAATTCGATCCAATACACCGAATTTATTTCTAATAAAAAGGTCATGGTCTTCTATTAGGTTGATGCATAAGTGTTTTTGTTCCTTTTCGTCTGCCGTTTCAAGCCAACAAATGCACGAATTAAACTACGGTTGATTTCATTAGAAAAACCAATTATTTTTCTGCAAAATAACATTAAAACCGGTTTTAAAATATTTTATGCCTGGATTTTCTTGAGAGTATGAAGTCGGGTAGTCAAAAAGGGCTAACTCGATGATGCGGTTTAGACACCTTAGCTAAAGAAAACCTATCTTCGTGTCAATAGATAAAAGATAGAGAAAAAAACGTTTGATATTTCGCCAAAATTTCAGAGAAATTCATTCAGCCAATTTTTCCGTAGAGTTTTTTTATAGATTTTTACGAAAAAGGCGTTTTTCACTCTCGAATTTGCTTGAAAGTGAACCGAAATTGATTTAAAAGATGGAAATTGAACAAAAAAACACTTTTTTTATAGAGCAAACTATAGATTAATTGGTGAATTTGTTACTTTTTAACAGAAGTACGAAAAAAACGAAAAGACTTATGCATCAACCTATTATTTTTCAATCTCCCGAAATCAGCCCGCCAGATAAATCAAAATTTTTTTAATTCTTAAAAACTATTTTAAACGATAGCCCTTGACGCAAAAGATGCCAAAAATGTGGAATTATTTCTTTAGCTATCTGCTGAATGTTTTGGAGCTGTTTAGATCAAATCTAGGATGAGAAAATGCCAAGAAAACGAAAAAGAGCTCAAAAAGAGGTTAACTGAGCTTTTCTCGGCACGAATTCTGTTTTAAGTGATCCAAAAGTATTTTAAATGTAGATAATTTTATTCTGCATTCAATAAGGATAAGAAACACATAGAAACTTAACCGCGGAGGGGCTATTTTTTTGCCATGGCGCTGTTTGTACACGGCGCTGTTTTGACTAGCTTCCAAAATTTCGTGCCTCAAATTTTCTGCGTAGCTGCCCTGAACGGCCAACGATTGCGTTTGACTGGGCAGCTATGCAGAAACGAAGGGCGTGCTTTAGAGTTTCAAAATCATTGAATCAAGAGTCGTTAAATCGAGAGCCGTATCTATAACTTTAGCTAAAAAGAAGTCCTGAAAAGTGCCGACTTTGAGGAGTCAGGTGTTTTCTATTAGAATAAATACAATAGCAAAAACAAGCTCAGAAATCTTTTCTTGTAGAATCTCTAGTGAAGTTTATCTCACCCGTATCAGCTGTCAATGATCCTGAGTCAACGGCACACGTCCGAATCATCATCGTTTGTGTGGGATCGTCCACTGGAAAAGATTAATATTGATTATGACTTAAGAATTTATTCCCACTTCTTTTCCCATTGATCTTTATACAATGATCAGCCGGGAAGAGTCCATCTCGTTCTTTTCGGAAAGCGAAACAGGGATGTTGATAGTGATGCGCTGAGGTTGAGGCCTCTGTTGGCGACTGGAATTTGGCATTTATTTGGTGAAATGTTTTTTGCTTAAGTTTCATTTCGCTTACCACTGGCAACATGCTGATCGACGAATTGTACGGATCTTCACACGACGAATCCGATGCACTGAACGATTGACAAACAAAACAACCGATTGATGACGCGCCTGTAAAGGACAGAAGTTTTAGTTTTGTTCAATCAATCTCCACAAAAGTTTATAACATTTTTGACTTAAAATCAAAGTAAACTTGTATTTTTCAATTTGTAAGCCTTTCAACTTTACCCCGACAAAGGTACAGCTTTGACCTCACTTGCGCTAGAATTATTCATGAAAATTGTGTTGTGAACAAGTGTTCTTTTTCTGACGCATAGAATTTTGATGAATTGATCGAAAGATGGATTGTTTAACGTTAAGGACAGAATTTTTTTTTTCGTGAATTTGTCATAACTTTGCTTGAGCAAGACTTTTGGAATTAACATAAGGAATTCTTTCAATCGATTAACCTTTAAATGCCGCTTTTAGCTGTGATAAGGTTAAAACCTGACAATAAAACAGCTTTGCCAAAGCTTTGATAACTCAAATCAAATTAGATGTCGTAAATCCCCATTTATTGCATTCAAAATGGCGATCTTTAGATGAAAATATAAAAATCTGAAAGAATCAGCTGCTATGCAAAGGCTGATCTGCTTTTTTATTGGGCTTTGTTCAGTTTTTCGTGTAAATTTAAAATTTAAATGTCACCAATGAGGAATCTAAAGTAATCCACCACTATATATAAACAGAGCTGTCTGTCTGCCTGGCTATGCGTCCGTATTTTGACTAATAAAGCTAAAACTTCTTTTGAAAATCTTAGAACATATTGTAGTTGTGTCATTTAAAAAAATTTTTAAATGAAAGTTCGGCGAAAAATTCGAGAATCGAACCCGGATAGTGTGGGCTGTAGAGCCCGGATAGTGTGGGCTCGGATAGTGTGGGCTCCCAACCACGCCAACCCGGATAGTGTGGGCTCCCGACCACGCCAAGGCGACTATCCATCACCCCCAAAACATTCAGCTAGAAAAACCCGCTGTTAGGCCTCTTTTTTCAGATTTTTCGGCTGTTTACCTCAGATTTCTACTTAGAAAATACAATTACAAAAAGAAAGCTGACCTCTAAAAGAGCAGAGGGCGACGAGGAGGGGGATGAGACACCGGACACGCTCCATGCACCGTTCCCTGACTCTCCCCGACTGCCGAGTCTGTGCGTCTGGAAAAAAAAACATTGGAATTGATATCAACAATTGTATGAATTGATTACATCTTTTAACAATTACAATTGTAATTTACAAACAGCAAACAACAACAAGAACAAACAAAACAATTTTTCAATCGAATCCATTACCTGCAACTCGCAGCAGCCACTATGGGATGCCGAGAGTGGAAGCAGATCGACACAGAACAATCGGAAAGGCGGGGATTTCAAAGAGATGGAAAAATTGAGAAGATCGAGAGATGAGCAATGGTTTCTTGTCGTATCTGAAAATATTGACAATATTTTACTCTAGATTTAATCTGGTTTTAAAAATCATGTTTCAGCATTGAGCAAGTAAGTCAATACATCCGAAAAACAATGATTGTAATCGATTTTGAAGAGATATGATATGAAACTTTTCTTGTTTCTAAGCATTTGTCTCTCATGATTAGAGTCCGTGCTCTAAAATGAACTTATTTTAGAAAATTGCCATAATCAACCAGCCGATTTAGCCGAATCTCGGTCACATTCAATGAAGAATCTTTGTGATTTCTCAATGATATAAAAAAATTGAGCTGATTAAATAAAAACTGACGGTTTGATTACGATATTTTTCTAAAATAAGGGCATTTTATCTAATGGATTATTTTAAAAGAACACTCATTGTCAGTACAAAAAAAAATTGTTGTAAAAAAGCATGTTTCATCTTTGAGTTACTCAGCAGCGGATAGGAAAAGTATTATTATAGTATCGAAAAATAGTCTTGTAGTTCTTGTATTAAAAAGCTAGTAAGAAAAAGAATGATGTCATTTTTCTTGTTTTTTCTTGTTTTTTCTTTCAATATTTCTGCGTTAGCTATGAATCTTCAAAATCAAAATCTCAATTCACCTTGTCAATTGGCAACAAATCGAAATCGACGCAACGCTGGGGCTTTTAATTCAAAGTTTCTGGAAAGTTTTTCTATTGATAAAAGTAGATAAAAGGAGAATAAAGATATGATAAGAGCATAAGAAAATAAATAAAGATAAAAAATGTTAAATAAGTAATTTGTAATGGTTTGAATGAAAAGAAGAATCATTAAATGCTAATTCTATGCTATCAACTTTGCTATTTTGAAACAGAGTTATTAGAACAGGCTTACCTTTGAAGATAAACCAATCAAAAACCAAAAAAAACTATAAAACAATGCTCTTAGAGCCTGTATTCCTGAATGTTTTGCGATTTCAGCTGAATTTTCAATCAAATCGAAGCTTGATTTGATTGCAAACTTTGCTAACAACGGGGATTACGGTAACTAGTTAAAACCCAAGGACATTACCGATTACCATAATCCCTGTAAACGTGTTTTAAAAGTGACTTGGATAGAGATTACGGTAGCTAATTGCAACTAATAACCAACCAAGTGACTAATAAAGCCATCTTCAAATCAACTCTTTTTCGTCGAGTCTTTTGCCTCAAAGTGGTCCTTTTTTCCTTTTCAAATGAATGATTTATTCGTTTTTTTTCTCTTCGAGAATGGCGCCAACTTCTGGTAGGAAAAGATGGAAAAAAAGGAAAAAGAAAAGAGTTCCCGGGGAAACTTCTAAAAGAAAAAGAATGGAAAAGAAAGAAAAAGAAAGAAAAAGGAAAGAATCCCTAAACAGCTCTAAATTTTTAAGGATTTTCCTTCTAGATGGTTGCTCTTTGGTTGGTTTAACTTTTAGAATGGGTATTTTTTGGAGGTAATGAAGTGGAAAAAGATTTGAAAATAATAATTAGCAAAAATTCAACACTAAGAATCATTTGGATTTGGTTCGATTTAAAGAATCGTTTAAAGAATGCAAAGGATCTCAAGGTTTAACGATATTACGGCAATTTCCGTCATTTCTGGACACTGGAAAATCATTTAAATTGGTTCAATTTTAAGCTACCTGATTTTTTTTTGATTAAATTTAACCACAGTTTTCTACGGGCTTCAAGTTGGAGCTCGGTTTTGGAATAAAGATTTTTGTTACGAAGTTTGTGACAATATCATTTCTCTTAAGCTGCATAATAAACGTTAAATTAATCTGTTATTTGAAATAAAAAGAATGAATAACCATAGAGGAATCGAAGAATTTCAAGCTCTTCTCGAAAACATTAAACAAAAATTCCATCACTTAATGATCAATTTCCGGAGAATCTCAAGGGAAATCTTGCATTCTCAGTTCTTTTTTCGCTTTGTTTTAAAGTTGATTCGAGTGTTTTAAAATGAGAAAAAGGAAAAAAGATAGGGAAATCCCATTCAAATCGAGTCTCATTATCTGAATTGTGGGTCTAGGTTCGTGAAATAAAAAGAAATGAAAAAAAGGAGAAAGGGGAAAAGGGAGACGACGAGATTTTTTGTTAGCTACAAGTTTAAGTTTCAAGTTTTACAGAGGTAAGACAAATAATTTATGATTCTCAATCATTGGTTTATAATATGATTTACGCAAAGTAAATTACTAAAGTTGTTTATCGCCTTAAAATATTAGCTGAGTAATCCTATCCAGATAATCCAGACCAAGTACGACAATAGCTACGGAACTTTGGTTGAATGGGCTTAAATTCTGTGGAAAGGAGATAATCCGTAAAGTGAACTGTGAATGCGCAAAGCTTCTCTACTTACATACATACTTCTCTACTACATAAACAACAATGTTACTTAAGATTTAAGAAAATGAAACGATAACAAGGTCAAAATTTAAGGTTGGATTGGATCGGCAAGAAAGAAAAGATATTTCGGGCATGGGGAATCCGATGCTGTATTTAATTTTTGCTTAAACCCCTTGGTTTTCGAGAAAAACGTGTTGCAAATTACTAAATTATTGAGGCTACCGACCGAACCGTCTCCGGTTTATAACGGTTCTTTCCCTTCCTTTCCAGCATGACCGAGTAGTGTGATGGTATGTGATGGTAAGTGTGCGCACTCTCAATCGCACTCTTGCTCTTTGCTCGGGTTCGAATCCGCTTCGTGCAAAACTTTTTGCTTTCTTTTGCAAAACATTTAAAAATCTTTTTTATGAACTTTAAGGTCTATATTGAAAATGATTGACAATTGAAAGTGAAACAAACGAGCAAGAAAACCGTTCTGGCAAAGCTGAGTTTCAACTTATACCAATATTTTATATCAGCAGCGATCTGCAGCTGATATTCAAGTGAAAATCGATCAACGAGTTTTGTATAACTTACTTAAATCGTTTTAAATCATTTTTCAAATACAATTTGTTTTAAATAAGAGCTATTCCAATTCATACTAAATTCAGTAAATAAAAAGCTAAATTTTTCAAAGAACAAGTTTCAACTTGAAAAGGGTCCAAAAATCGGAACAATATTTTAATACTTCTCAATGACAGCAATTCTAATGCGCAACCAGTTCTGATGGTGTGGCTAATTTCAAATGCAAATTTTTAAGTTCAAATCTAATAAACGAATTCTTTCAATCAATTCAATCATTACTATCAATACAATACAATATTCAAATCAAATTGCTAAAAGTTTTGTTTTTTTTCTTAAACGTTGTGAAAAATCGGATCGATATTTTAAAAGTCTAAACAAAAATTGGTCTAATCACCATCATAGAGCCTTTAGAGCATCATGAATATAAGAAAAAGAAAGAAAAAAGAAATCCAATCCTTTATGCAATCTTCTATAAAGTAGATTGGGGAAAAGAAAAAAGAACTGGGTAAACCCTAGGAATATAGAGGATGAGGGAAAAGGAAGGAAAAGAAAACTACCCAAAAAAAGGAAGAGGAAAGAGAGGGGCGTAATCTCAATAATAGGGGATGGAAGGGGACAGGGGACTGGGCCTTCTATGGATGGGGAGAGGTCCCCTTTACCCTGTCTCCAATATGGGGGTCCAATGGAAAAAGCCCCAGCTCTTTCAGTCTTTTACGGGCAAAATGATGCTGAGGTTTTCCCGCCGACCAACCCAACCTTAACTGCTAACTAGATAAACCCTAGGAAAATGACAAATCGGTCAGACTTTCTTCGGTAAGACAACCTGACGCCAATACCATCAACTGATCTTCGCGGATCAGTTAGTGACGTTGGCCCCTAAGCTCGTCAACAAGTGCCAGAAATTTTTAGTAAACCCATTTGAAGCTCAACTGAAGCAGCTGAAGCTGAAGTAAACCATTTGGTGGTTTGAGTTTTTCCGAAACTAGAAGTAATTCACTTTACACTAACTGCTACCGTAACTATCATAGCTTTACACTAACCGTAACACTAAAAAGGCAGCAGGGATAGAACTAAATTCAGATCATATTCATAATCTGGCTTTGACCTAAAATGAACCAGAATATTGGGCTACTCAGAGCTACTTAGGGCTACTTAGATTAGCCAGGGCTACTTAGATCAGCGAGAGTCAGACCAATTAGGCCTGAGATTGGTCTGAGTGAAATTGGCCAAGATATGGCATTCATCCGTTGGTCACCTATTGACGTTCGCACCGAAAACTCCCAGGTCTAAGACCAGGATACATTTCTAAAATCGTTTGTGAAAGTACAAAGCTTTGAAGTCAAGTAAAGTTAAAGTCACCTCGTAGATTGTAGAGTTCTATCTTTGGGGATTTTTTTGAAAGCTGTTGCCTCTACAAAGAGATCCCCTTTACCCTCTCCATGTCCAATATAGGAAATCTTTCCCCCGTCCGTCCCGAGATTGGATCCCAGGCAATGACGAGACGAGTAAAATGGGATACGCAAAGAAATGGGAGATTTCACTGACGAGGAGATTTCTACGAACATTCAATTGAAACAATGATGAGAGAAATTTTGGTAGAGAGAAAATTCAAAGTTTCAATTTCAGTGACGTGTAATTGATTTGACCGCCGTTAGTAAGAGGTCTCTCAACATCTTATTACAGATATTACCCGTTTTAGAGAAAAAAGAAACAAAGTTTCGATTGAAACGGCGTTTAGCCGCTTTGGCAAACGTTAGTTTACCGTTGGCGGTGATCTTTTGATATAAAAACCTACGG